TGCCCAGGGACTGCTGTGGAGGCAGCCATTGAGGGTAGGGGGCTGGGCCGTGGGCCAGACAAGGTCCTGTGGCTGTGTGGCTCTCCATGGCTGGTGATGATGAACATGCCGGGCGCCTATGGTAGGCTAAATAAAGCGCCCCAAAGATATTCACATCTTGATCCCAGAAACTGTGCACTATGCTTGTCATGACAAGAGGGATTTTGCAGGTGTGACTAAGTTAAAAAGTTTAATTACCTGGGATTGTCATCTGTCATCTGTATATGCTCCGTGGAATCATGGTGATCCTTGTGAGAGAGACACAGAGGGTCAGAGCTGCAGGACAAGGTCATGTGATGATGGAAGCAGGGACTGGAGCGATGGACTTTGAAATGAGGAGGAAGGGGCCACGTGCCAAGGATCACAGGCAGCTGCGAGAAACTCAGAAATGCAAGAGAACAGATCCTCCCCTCAGCGCAGCCTTGCCCATTCTGTAACTTTAGACTGATTTCCAGATTTCTGGCCTCCAGAACTATAAGACACTAATTCTGTGTTTTAAGCCTCTCGGGTTGTGATGATTTCTTAGGCAGCTGTAGGAAATGACTACAGCACCTGCTTGGTTCTAAACGTTTTTTCTCTTACTCTCCCTGACAGCCACGGGGAAACCCCTAGCCCATCAGCTGTGCTCCAGGAGCCAGCCTGTCCTGTCTGCTAAGAGAGGGCCCTCCCCAAATGGACCCTGGCCCACTTTCAAGAACCAAGTCAAAGAGCTCTTCCTTTAGGAGGCTTGCTGTGGCCATGCCAGGCAGAAAGGGGTACCCATAGCACTCCACATGGGGCACTTTTCCCAGTCTAGGTTGCTGTCTCGTTCCCCAACAAGACTGGGAACATCGGCAGAGGTTTTTTGTTGTTTTTGCAGTGCTGGAATAGAACCCAGGGCCTCACACACCCTGGGTAATCACTTTACCACTGAGCTGCACCCCTGGCCCCCTGCAGGGGTTTGGTGGATGGAATTAATAGCATATCATGTGAAAGCCCAAGGCGATAAAGGGCTGTACCCCAGGAGCCTCCCGTGAAATAAGTGTGTGCATTCTTGGCCTGGGGCTGTCATCTGTACACTCACCTTTGACCAACCTTGTAATGCTAAGATGTCACTTTGCATCCTGGACAGTTTCCTTTGGATGCCTGACAAGCCCTTCAAGCTCTCTGTCCCTAAGTGACATTAATGTCTCCAAGCATCTGCTGCTCATGCGTTCATTGGCTGTGGTTGGCACCGTCACTCCACGATTCTGGGCTTACCCAAGTCCTTCCTTCTTCATCCCAACATTGGTTCTTTAGAACGTCTTAGAATTCCTACCTGAGGTACGCCTCTCATGCCATCTTTTTTCTTTTATCTCTCCTACCCCATAAACTGTACCACTACCATCTTGGATGCTGTTACAGCCTCCTCCCAGGATCCCTCATCCAGTCCCTTCCCTACCCAACAGTAGCCAGATAAGTTTGTAGAATTCATACCTATGTTGCTCCTTTGCCCAGGTGAGCAGAGAAAAGATGGGTGTTTGGTCTCCTCTGTGTAGCCTGTGGGGCTGCCTTGCCTGTTGCACTTGCTGGCCTTTCCTAAGAGACCACAGCTGCTGATGGCAAGTGGCCCAGCATGACCCTTTCTCCTGAGCTGTGGTGCCAGTTCCACTAGGAAACCCCTGCAGCCTTGTACTCCACAGCCACTGCTGGACATTAGGCAACTGTGCACTGCAAGGCCAGCAGAGCCCTTCTGAGGCCTTTGGAGGCCTGAGTCCACCTTCATCCTAGCAAGCATAATAAACTAAAGTATTATTTACTGCAGTCAAATTTTTTTAAAGGATTTGAACCGCCTCAAGTTTTATAAAGAGTGAACTATTAATTTTGTCTTGTAACTTAAACATATTTATAAGATTTATGTAGGGGTTGATCTGGGCTGCTTCCAACAAGTTGGCATAATACTGCATTTGTAGACATTTAATTAAATGTGTATTCATTTTGATGTTGCTGTTCTCATAATTTGGAGCTGATACATTGTTCTTTAGGGGCTTAAATATTTGTGTAAGCTCTTGAGAAGCTCCTAGGTCCAAAGCCATGAGACTGCCTAGCTCCCCTGCCCACACACACATCACCAAAGAGCTTAGGATTGAGTTGCACACACTGGGTGGCTGAGGAGGAAGGGGTGTATCATCTCATGTCTGTGGGCATGAAGGCCAAACCAGCTGTGCTCTAGGGATCCTGGGGAGTAGCAAAAGGAGGACAGAGTTTTGGGCTGGGTGGGAGATCCCTGCTCTAGAAGGATCTAGAAAATTCTGTACATCCCAATCCCCTCTTTGAACCCTCTTGCTGTCCCCAGCCTCACCTTCTTGCTCAATCTGGCACTACCCCTTCCACCCATGTAATGCTGGCTCTTTTGAAGTTCAGCTCCTTCAAGAATTGTGTGCTCCTATGGGCTGGGGATTTAGCTCAGTGGTTCCACCACTGCCTGCCTCGCAAATGCAAGGACCCAAGTTCTATCCCTGGTACCAAAAATAAAATTGTGTGGCCCTAAGCTGAGTGGAGAAAGAGCAGAGCCATTGTTCTCCCACACTGCAGTCTTCAGGTTTGTTGAGTCCCCATCACCGCCCCCACCACACACACATACACCATGGGGTTGTAGAACTGAATGAGTGGTAGGTAGTGTTGAGGTCAGAGAGACCTGGATCTATATGCTGGCTCACCCATGAGTTACTTCCACAATTTGGAGCAAGTTACTTGCCCCATCTGAGCGCTGAGTTCTTCATCTACAAAATGAGGTTAAAATACTAATTTAGGAGTTGCTGCAAGGATCAGATGCAAAACCACTAATATGAGGCCTGGTGGTCTGTAAGTGCTTCATAAAGAGAAGTTTCCTCCGATCTAGTGATTTCTGGCACAAAATTTCTGGCCAACTGTGTCCTGGCCTCCTTCCATTTTTCAGTAGCCTTAGCTACAAGTCCCGTGTGAGAAAAGACTGGGCTCATCACTGATGCATGCTGGGCACAGTGCTGGGTGCTTCTTCAGGTGATGTTAAAGTGACACTGTCACATTTGGCCTGCCTAACAGGGATGTTTCTTTTTACCCCCATAGCCTCCACTCCCCCTTTTTTATCCCAGAATCTTCAGGGCTCTGTCCCTCCGCAGAGGTGCAGAAGACAGAATTCTTTTGGCCAGGTTCCAAGCCACAGCCCCCAATATTTATCATTGACTAATGAAAAACTAGTTCCCTTGACCATGACACTTAACCCTACTATTTAAGCCCTGTAAAAGGCATGCTTTTAAAATAGAAAAAAATATATAATTACTTAACTTGAGCACTCATGAAAGATCCTAAATCAGCAAACCAGTTTAATGTTTAATGAGTTGCAGCTAATGCACTTACCGTACAGAAAGTGAGTGGCTCGTGTCCAGTTTCTCTCCAAACTGTAGTCATCCTGCAAGAGATGACAGCACAAACTTGCCCTACCCTTCACATACTATTCTCATAACCACAGAAAATGCTTCCTTCATCAACAGGAGGGAACTGGGTCTCAAGAGTACCTTCCAGTCACCACTCTCACGAGCATTATCATCATCAGCATCACCACCATCATTACCATCTTCATCATCAACACCATCACCATCACCACCACCGCCACTACCACTGTCACTGTTACACCTGTTATCACCACCATCATCACCAACACATCAGCAGTGGCAGCAGAAGCATCACCATCACTGTTATCCTCACCACCACCCAACTACCTTCAGTGAGCACTTGCATCAGACAGAACTTACCCTATAATATTGCTATGAGCTGAGTACTAATATCTCTATTTTCCAGAGAAGGAAACTGGGGTTAAGAGAAAATAAATAAAACATTTCTCCAATGTTACTCTGTTGGTAAGAAATAGGGCCGCCATCACTGACTCTGCAGCCCCATTTTTTCTACAATTTCTTGTTTTTTTGTCTTTTCACCCTGACCCACTTCCTTTGCTTGTCAGCTCCTCCTGTCCAGCACTCCTTAAATCTTGGTCTGCCCTCAATATTAAATTTCTGTTTCCACTCACGTTTTCAATTATGAACTGTGTAAGGCACTTGTGGCTCCTTTGTAGTAGTACTAGACTCTGTTCTAAATTTATGTCTCGGATGCTCCTGTTCTGTCCAGGCACACACTCTTTGAGGGCAGAGATTGTCTATTGTCCAGTGTATCCACAGTGTCTAGGGCTTGCCTCCTGATTCACTCCATCTGTGGGATGAACCAGTGAATGAATGCATAGATATATGGGGAGGTGGATGAAGAGATGGATGGTTTGACAGAAGAGTAGTGGATGAATAAATGCATTGATCAAGTTAAGGATCACTCTACGTGCCTAATCCTCTCATCTCCCTTCCTCCATGTAGTTCCAACTGCCTTTGAGAACTCTTTTGTTGTCATGTTTTACAAAACTAGACTTGTAAAAATCTGAAGTCTTTCCTAGCTGATTCCATCTTAGCTCTTTTCTGATAATGGTACTGCATTTCTTTCCAGTGTCCCCTTCACACTCCTCTCATATTAAGCCATTCATCCAGTGATTTTAAGGTTGTTTTGTTTTGTTTTTTGGCTATCTGCTACGTGTCAAACACTATTCTAGGGAATGGAAGCAGTAAACAAGACAGGCAAGATCTTGGGAGAACTCAAAGAATTCTGCAGGGAATATTGGGGCAGAAGATGGGATAACAGAAGTAAGCGAGTAAAAAATGAGCAAGATAATTCTGGAGCAGAATGAGTGATACATTCGGGAAGCAGAGTAATGAAAGAGAACTTAGAATTCTCACACCAGGAAAAATGCGTAGAAAGGTTTGTTTGAAGATGTGTTGTTAAGACCCAGAGGATAAGCATGTGCCAGTCAAATAGAGAGCCAAAAGAATATTCCAGCAGAGCCACCAGCAAGTGCAGAGGCTCTGGGCTGGAAAGAACCTGACAGGTCGCCATTACAGGAAGGCAGCAGAACCACTAGAGGGCAGTGAACAAGGAGAGACTGTACCAGAGGAAGTTGCTCACAGACCTGAGCAAAGTCATGCAGGGTCTTGAAGGTCATACTAAAGTGTCTAGCCTTTATTCTAGGAGCAGTAGAAAGGTACTGAAGAGTCTTAAACATAATACAAATGGCTTGATCTCTCTGGCAGTTAGGCAAAAGCCCCAGATTCACAGGTGAGGTGAGTCAAATTCCTAGGAAAGGAGTAAGTCCAATTCCATTTGCATTGCCACAGAGCACAAAAAAGGAAAACATCCAAATGCTTTTTGTGAGGTCATCAAAGCATTAGTGGCCACTCTACAAAAAGGTGCAACAAAAAGGAAAAGAATAGATAAAGCTCATTTATGAATATTAATATCAAGAAATTCTTACTATTCTAGTAAAGGATATTTTTTAAAATATCAAATTAGTATTCTACCAAGAGGGCAAGAATAGCTTACTATGAATAACTACTATTATAATTGAATATGTTGACAAATCAAAGTGGAAAAGAATTTTTAAAGGTACACTAATCTTTAAAAAGGCTGGAAAAGCACTTTATAAATTTATGATCTGTCTTTGATTTTTACACTTTCTTAATCAAATAAAAGTGGATAGATAGTCTCTAAATATTTTATGGCAAAACTCAGCATCATGCTTAATGGTGAGTTACTGGAAACATTCTCATAAAAGTCAGAAACAGTAATTCTAGAGATACAGTAGAGCAATTGGATAAGAGAAAGAAATGAGAGGTATAAAAATGAGAAAATGAAAAATTATCATTTATGTAAACAATAAAATTCAAGACAATCTATAGCCTATTAAAACTAGAGAGTTTAGTAAGGTTGCTGAAATGAGATTAGTACATGCACAAAATTCAACAGTTATGTTGTCTATAATTACAACTTAAATGATGAATGTGCTGGGTGTAGTGGCACATGCCTGTATCTCAGCTGCTCAGGAGGCTAAGGCAGGAGGATCACAAGTTCAAGATCAGCCTAAGCAACTTAGCTATAAATAAATAAATGGGCTGAATATGTACCTCAGTGGTGCCTGCCCACGGTACCCAAGGTGAGGCCCTGGTGTCAATCCCCAGTACTGAAATTTAAAAATATATGGGTATGATTTCTTAAATGTGTCATTTCAAAGAGGCATTGAAAAGCTGTTCAGTATCACTAGACACTAGGGACATGTAAATTGAAACTATGATAAGTGCTATACTTTGATCTTTTTTTTTTTTTTGTCTTGTCTGGGGTACCGGGGATCAAACTCAGGACTTTACACTTGTGAGATAGGTGCATTGCCACTGAGCTAAATCCCCATCCCTATTTTGATCTTGAATATCAATCAAAGGCCCATATGTTGAAGGCTTGGTCTTAGCCCATAACACTATTGGAAAATGGCGGAACTTTTAGGAGGTGGGTCATAACGGAAGGAAGTTGGGTCGTTGTGGGTGTGGCCTTAAAGAAAATATTGAGACCCCAACTCCTCTTCCTCTCCTCCTTTATTCCCAACAGCCATGAGGAAAAGAGGCCTCCTCTGCCATATGCTTCTGCCATGTTGTGCAGCCCACCATGGCCCCAAAAGCAAGGGTGCCAAGCAATCACTAACTGAAACCTCTGAAATCATGAGCCTAAATGAATCTTTCCTTATAAGTTGATTACCTCAGATATTTTGTCACAGTGACAAAAAGCTGACTAACACAATAAGATATCACTGAACACCTATTAGAATGGCTAAGATAAACAGCACTAAGTTTACCAAAGGTTACCAGCAAGGATATAGAACACTTAGATCTCTCATCCATTGCTAGCAAGAACACAAAATAGCACAGCCACAAACTGGAAATCAAACAACAGGATAACTGGAAATCGGTTTGGCAGTTTCTTAAAAAGTTAGACATAATACAAAAGACAGCAATTGTACTCCTGGAGCATTAAACTCAGAGAAATGAAGACATGTTCAGAAAAAAACTTGTACATGAATAGAGGTATAATGCCTTCCTATCCCCAAATGTCCTTCCATAGGTGAATGTCCTAACCATATCTGGACATATCAGTATAGATAAATCTCAAATTCCTATTGAAGCATGAAAGACACGCATTGTAAAAGCTTCTTAACATATGATACCATTCAGGGAAAATATTCAACACACAAAGAAAACATGCTTAATACAAGTTTTTATATATTTAAGAAAAGCACAAAAACATGCACCCAGACCATTCTCCAGATAGCAGCAAAATTGGAGGAAGAAAAGCAGAAAGTGTGTTCAGTATGGAATTTAAAGTGTATGTGTGTCATTTAAGAGAGCTATAGAACTATATCAGGGGACTCCCAACTGAGAAAATCTGGAGCAATACGAGCATCAAAGTTAGAAGCGAGAGTAATGGATTAAATCCATTAATTAATCCAGTAAATTAATAAATAAGAGTGCTTTAATCCATACTGGCATAAACAAAGATGTCAGCTAGTAGACATTGAAAGAACAATGGAGTTAGAAAAAACATTATTTGACAAACACTGTTATTAAAATTATGTCAAGTGAGAGCCACCTATTATTGTTAAACTAGTGGATGAATGTTTAATGAGTCATAGGATGGCTACAGAATCTCAAGGTATCTGTCTTTGGTATAATATCTAGATATTACAATAAATGAAACATTTGGAATACTCAGCTAAAGATCTGGGATCTTAAGTTGTTTTAAAATATATATATTTTTAAATGCTGTCATATGGTAGTCTCAAGGAAAGCTAAAAGTTGTAAGAATTCTTATGTTGGTGCAGAAAAAGGAAGAACTTTGTCCTGTGTCATAGTTTTGGCTACTGTAAAAGAATATAACACACATTTATTCTGGAACCCGAGAAGCAAGGTCAAGGTGCCCGCAGACCCAGGGCTTCCTGATTTGTAGATGCCATCTTCTCATTGGGTAGTCTAATGGCAGAGGAAGGGAGCTCCAGTCTCTCTTCTTGTAAGGACACTGGTCCCATCACGGAAGCTCCACCCTTGTGGACTCATCTGTACCCCCTCAAAGCCCCAGTTCCTAAGATCTTAAGGGTTATTAACATATGACTTTTTAGGGGACACAAACATGCAGTCCACACAGTCTGCAACAACAACCAATCAAGAAACATACATATATTCTAGGATTCCCAGATTCTAGGCTGTTTAATATTCATTTATTCTAGGGTTTGAAGCAGTATCACTCTACTACTCAGATTGTAGAATATTCTAATGAATATTCTACGGTTATAAGATTCAATCATTCTTTTATTCTAATTCCAAGATTCAAAGAAGCCATCATTCTGCTGTAAATCTGTGGTCAGATCAGCCATATCAAAAGCACTAAGGTAATGTAATTTGATGCTAATCTTCACAGAATTTTATAACCAAAAAACCAAATCCATTGAACCCTAATTTGTGTCTGGAATCCACTTTTCCTTGGTTGTGTTCTTAGGAATAGAGGGAAGGTTCTTGGCATTTTATGATATAATGCACTCTTCATGATAGGGGTTTTTAAAAATAGACATTCTATAACATATTAGGGAAGTTCTAGTTTGCCAAGAGATTTTAAAAAATTGGTTATTGTCAACTTCAATGATGTCTTTTTTTTTTCTCATTGAGTTTATTGGTACATTTTAGGTATACAGTACAGTCACATCCATCATAGGGATCTTATACCTTTACATAACAGGTTTTGATTCTCATTTTTTCCCCTTACCCCTGCCCTCCCTTCACCCCTCCTCCCTTTCCTATTTACAAATACTTTATTTCC